CAGCCCTCAAAAACAGAAAGTTTAGAACTATCACAAAGCGTTGTAAACACATTTCCAGTTTTTGTCAAATACTAAGATCAACAAGAAAGAAAGCAGTTTTAGAACTATAACACTCAAGCATCACAAGCATCAATGGCGGATCAGAACAGATCGGCGATATGTCATACTTGGGGGACGTACAAAGAACAATTTACCATCACCCACCAGTTATCTCCCCTTGTGGACGTTTCCAAAATTGTAAATCTTTGGAAATCACATATTTCCAAAATTGTAAAAGTCTTGGAAACATTATCTTTACAAGACATTTACAAGCTTGTAAACGTGGACTTTTTTCCAGTGTATAAATACCGATTCCTTATTTCCAAGACAGGATTCCGTAGAGGCAGCTGATATGACAACACACCCAGATCTAACAACGTAGTGTAGGAACGTCCAGTGTACGCGCCTCAGTCGGAGAAACAAGGGTGCGGCAACGTTGGTGCTGGAAGACCTGGTTTCCCGTCAGTGCCATTAGTATACTGGGTGATATTTGCCGTACAACTACTCCACCGTCTCCAGATCCACAGGACGCCAGGTGCACAGAAGCTCATTACATTCTCCAGGTACCTGGGACTCTGGCAGCATTACCGTTAGGATGACATGGCGGTTTCTGATATTATGTGCAGGTAAAGCTGGGTGTCTTCTTCTAATGGAAATATGTTAAGGCAGTCACCTCAACCTCTTTCTTCACACCGGAACAGCTGTACTCTACGAAGTACATGCGTGATCCACTCCTGTTATTCTGGGACAAGTCAAATAGTGACTCGTGCTTCTATAGAAGGATTTCATATTGCCGTATGAACATCAGAACTGCTTCAAACAAGAACTTTATTCCTGTTTAATTCAAATAGTAAAAGACATTACATTAACACTCGCACCTAGCTGTTTTATGAATAAATGTAACCCTTTTGATGTAATGCTACTGCTAATAACAATTGTAACAGTTTGTTCAAAATACATTTTCAGCTGCTCATCTTTTATTTTCAATTGTATATTCCTAAATATGGTTTAAAATGAGCAATAATCAGATCAGTGAGTGTAAATTATCTCTTTCAAATTTCTCAGATATTTAAGAATCGCAAATGTGTATTTTTCCTTGAATAGGCAATTATAGTAATATTTTCGTGTGTAATGAGCTCCAATTTACAGGTACACGTTCGTCAATACAAAAACAAATATAGATGTCTAGTTTGGCTATCTAAACCTTTTGGATTTATCGTATTTGTTGTCCATAAAATCAATTCTGTCAACATTTAATGTTATATGTTAATTAAAAGAGATATCTTTAATAGTAAAACATTCAGAATTAAAATTTTCAAGGTTCAAAATTATGGTATTTTTGTTTCATATGAAGAGGCCAACTTCTGTAGAATACAGTAGTACATATAAATAGAGATCCACCTTCGACTGATAATAACTTGCAAAATAGAATTATATATATAATGGTTGCAATAGAGAGAGAGAGAGAGAGAGAGAGAGAGAGAGAGAGAGAGAGAGAGAGAGAGAGAGAGAGAGAGAGAGAGAGAGAGAGAGAGAGAGAGAGAGAGAGAGGAGAGAGAGAGAGAGGAGAGAGACTTACGTAATTAGAAATGTTATGAGTCGTCATGTAAGCAAACGCACGTGTGTGGATTTGAATCGCTCAACGGACATGTCATCTTAATATCTTTGATTCATGCAACACAATTCTGTTATCTACGTACTTTGTATGTCAGGTTGACTATAGAGATATTTCACTATTTTGTAAACAATCACATTATGTCATAATAGATTTAATTGCTCGGGTTACTTTTCTCAAAGCACCTCAATCCTTACGCGAAACCTGATTGATCCTAATTTTGCATATAACATTCATCGATGGGGGCACGAGTCTTCTTGGAGGTTACGGAAAGGTGTGAGTGGTGACGAATGTAGGGGGACGAGTTTCCTTGCAGTGACGGAAAGGGTCGAGTCGTGACGAATGTATGAAGTTCAAATGAGACATATTATTTATCGCAATTGACAATCTATGAAGAATTAATGCACCATTCACAGTCAGCATTCTACACACATGAACACCACATACAATCGTCATTCAACACACATCAACTCACCACAAGCACTGAGCTTCCTACATTCCATCCACATGTCACACACAGTCAGCATTCTACAAACAATCAACTCAACTTAACCACTCAATTGGCTTTCTACAAACAATCAATAAATCACACACAATCCATATTTTACACACCATCAATATTCAACACTCAATCAATATTCTACACAGCAGTAACGCCGCACACAGCCAGCTTTCTACATACAACCAATACTCTACACACAATCGGCATTCTACGCACCATCAACATTCAACACACAATTGACATTCTACACATCATCAACATTCAACACACAATTGACATTCTACACATCATCAACATTCAACACACAATTGACATTCTACACATCATCAACATTCAACAACACACAATTGACATTCTACACATCATCAACATTCAACACACAATTGACATTCTACACATCATCAACATTCAACACACAATTGACATTCTACACATCATCAACATTCAACACACAATTGACATTCTACACATCATCAACATTCAACACACAATTGACATTCTACACATCATCAACATTCAACACACAATTGACATTCTACACATCATCAACATTCAACACAATAATTGACATTCTACACATCATCAACATTCAACACACAATTGGCATTCTACACATCATCAACATTCAACACACAATTGACATTCTACACATCATCAACATTCAACACACAATTGACATTCTACACATCATCAACATTCAACACACAATTGGCATTCTACACATCATCAACATTCAACACACAATTGACATTCTACACATCATCAACATTCAACACACAATTGACATTCTACACATCAACATTCAACACACAATTGGCATTCCCACATCATCAACATTCAACACACAATTGACATTCTACACATCATCAACATTCAACACACAATTGACATTCTACATCATCAACATTCAACACAAAATTGACATTCTACACATCACTAACACACCATACACAATAAGCATTCTTCATACAACACACATTATGTTACTTCTTACCATCAACATACACACACTCGCCATGCTCTGATACCATCTGCATAAATTCAAACGACAAAAATCCATATTTCAGTGCTGTGTGTGTCCACGGCGACAGTGGAGGCCAAAGGTGCACCCTTTACATGCGGAACCCAGAGAAGGTAAGGGACTGAAGCTCACCTAACATACAGCTATACTTGAACACCAGTCTAAAGAGACCATGTCCAGTCTTTGACCAGCCATTACCACTGAACTGAATACCATTGTGAAATTAATTAAAGTTTAATAGAGGTAACACTTGATCGAATTATCGCTGAATCCTTCCGTCTGACATTTTCCGATACCAATGCATACGATAATAACACATAAAACAAATACTTGTGTATTGCAAACAGAAACATTTCAGTGTAGCTACTTACACGGTGTCCTCCCCATTTGTGAGAACACCCATTTGTGAGACACAATAATTAATGGTTCAGTGCACATAGGTGGTGTTTCCACATCCCCACAATGAAAGTGGATCAGCCCAGTTGTTGAAGAGTATCCACAGGAGGCATAGTTCATCAAAGATTTTATTTACAAAGAAGAAATAGTTCATTAAATATTTTATTTATTCAGAAGAATATGTAATTATGATAACACATTTTTATGGACTATTATGAAGTTTGAAAGTCATTTTGGTTTAAACATATTTTATTATCATTGTCAAAGTGCGTTTAATTTTAAGGACATTTACTGGTGTATGTTCATCAATTTATCTTATAAAGTTTCATTACGTTACCTCCAAAAGATTCAGTTACATAGTGAGTGAGTGAGTTTAGTTTTACGCCGCACTCAGCAATATTCCAGCTATATGGCGGCGGTCTGTAAATAATCGAGTCTGGACAAGACAATCCAGTGATCAACAGCATGAGCATCGATCTGCGCAATTGGGAACCGATGACATTTGTCAACCAAGTCAGCGAAACTGACCACCCGATCCCGTTAGTCGCCTCTTACGACAAGATAGTCGCCTTTTTATGGCAAGCACATGGGTTGCTGAAGACCTATTCTACCCCGGATCTTCACGGGTCTCAGTTACATAGCAAATCAGTAAGTAGCTAGGGTTAATCCATTCTATCAGGCAGGGGAGTATGGTGTGTTTTCTTTGTAAATTACCCACTCCACTGTCTCATAACTTGGAGTCTCACAATTGGGAGTTCTCACAAATGGGAGTAGACCACTTACACCCTTGTCAAGCTATGAAGCTACTAAGAAGTAGGATTCCAGTAGTAGAACAGTAAAACACCAGTTGATAGGGTGATATTTGATCCATTGAACTGAAGCATCAGCATGTGCCTGTTACTGCCGACAATTATACATGATTCTGATATTATTGTCAAAATCTGTTATCCAGCCTCATGTAAGAATGTCGAGTTTTGATTGGTTCACGTGACTCTGATAATATACCATGTACACCCGTCACGATGCGCGAGCAGCGGGACTACAAAAGTCATATTATCCCGCCACGCCTCGGTGACCACGTGAAGTGAGAAAAGCGTGCATTGCCAAGCTTTTATTAATGTGCGCTGCATTGAGGTCAATCGATCAGCTTGGTGTCAACACGGCAGCAAGGAAACGCTTTGCCACAACAACTGAGAATTTTTGTTTTGTTTTCTTTGATTTAGTAAAACATTCGGCTAGATAAATGCGTTATCACATCGTGTCTCGAAATGCGGGTTTTATCAGTCACTCGTAAGGTTGTATTCCCTTACTCGGGACTGATAAACCCCGTATTTCCCCAACACGATTTGATAACTTATATTATGCTGACAAGATAAAATGAAGACAACAGAGTTACATTGTTAAAGATTCTGAGACGTGTTTCCTTCAGCCGAGCTCGATGAAAACTTTCAAGAGTATTTGTGTTACGACGTTGGCGGTAGATATTCAGGTGAGCACGCACATTTAATTCTTCATAATTACTGCATTGTATCATTGTCAGGTAGCATAGAAGTCAATAACTAGATTACTTTCTTAACGAACGTTGAAGCAATCAGTAAATACGATGTTCTTGCATATTCTGAATATGTCATTCATAGTTTTATGAAGTTTTATTTGGCCTGAATTAGATAGTATTTTTTGAGCTATGGACAAGCACCAACCTCAACCATTTACAGATGGCCGTCACATGACTAGAACATTACTGAGATTGCACTACAATCTTCCAATATTTACCATTTTTCAGCACTTCGTCAACGGATGTTTGAGCTGAGCTCAGTAAAGAAAGTTTGAGGGTAGGTGAACATAATACAATATTACTGAATGTGAAGTTGTTCATATCGACGAATAATTTATGCATTAAACCTGAATTGATCACAGATATTGACGTGTGTTTTGTTGTAAAATGGAAAGCATTGCTGACCTGGAAATACGAATGTTTGGGCAGATAGTCAGTGCTAATATAAAACATAATGTTTTTATTAAACGTAAGGTCATCCTCGGTAAGCCAGGGAATAATATCTACGTGGTATGAAACATACCCTGGACCGATCGCTAGTGCAGTTGCGTTAAAAGTGTAGTCATCAACCCGTCACTTTTCGGGTTTTTCTCACAAATGTTCTCGTACATGTGTGTTTGATCGGAAGATTTTTCATGGGACTCTTAACGAAACTATGGTGAATGTGCAGCGTGTTTCATCAAGCTTAATGGATATGACACTGCATATTACCGAGGATGTTGTAAGCCCGACTAAAAAGCATATTTTCTTCTTGCAGCTATATCCAGAATTTTGGTGGAGGCTTACAAAGACGTACACCAGTGCCAAAGTAAGTTACCATAGCACGTTACCAACATCTGCAGATCGCTAATTTTAACTCTATGATTCAGGGCAGTGTTGTTCCATGGGACCCCGTATTTTCATGCATGTGATCGTTGTAATTGTAAAACAAGTAAGTGAGATGGGATTTATGCCGCTTTTAGCATTGTTCCATCAATATCACAACGGGGGACACCCTGTACCCATGTGAGGGGCACTTGTCCAGACGAGCGGGGGCTTTATCCGCTAACCAAGTCACTGCCCCACTAGTAAAATCAGGACTGGGTAGTTACAATGTGTGAACTGGCTCATTTTGTATCATGGACTGGTTGTAAATGCCCCTCAAAGACTTGACATGAGAGGTAGAGTCCTCTGAACATCTTCTTTAGCAGCTGACCTTTCATGTCCATTGACAGTCAACCAACAGTGCGGCCAATAGTGGCAGTCTCTTGTTTCTTCGAGAATCGTTGTGTGTACTTGCATATTCTTGTTTCTGATATAGATATTCATTTCTATTGGAGATTGTGTGATCCATTCGTAACTACTCGCCTCTTTCCGTGACCTACAAGAAGACTCGTACCCCTATCGTACGCCATTATTGCCAAGAATCGTGGCAAGCCAATCAAATCGCGCGTAGTAAAACGCATTTCGATGCAAGAAAATGGCGGCACCGTTGAACTTTGAAACTTCGCTAAACTATGCAAAGCACAATTTAAACATAAACTTTGAGCCAAAGGATCAGAAACTTTAAACACTGAAACATATTTACAAAGGGAATGACTGTATTGCTGTTTCGCCCACGGGATGCAGGATATTCTATGTGCCATGGAAATTCAGAGTTATCTTTCCTTTGTAATAGTACTAAACTATTTTCATCTCCATGCCTGTTTGCGCTGAGACAGGTCCCAGTCGTAAACCTGGCCATGAGAGGGGTGCGAGACGCCATCCGGATTGCCGGAATGACACGAGTAGTTACGAATGTCTGTGATCATTATCTACTTTTTTAATTATAGCTGATGTGTGCGCCTACACGTTGCTATTCCAAGAAAAACTTCCATTTAATTTTGCCAACATCACCGACACGGAGAAAATGGAGATCCTATGTAAGTCTATATAATCTATATATGCTGCATTCCACTGTAGTTACTCTTTGTTGTGAATGGATTATTGCTGCAAATCCAACGGAAGGAGGTGTTTGTAGTGTTGACCAATGTCTGTTGTCTTCCGTTGTAGTAAGTCTTTGTTGTGGATGCATGTCTGACGTCTTCCACCGTAGTAAGTCTTTGTTGTGTTGATCAATGTCAATGCATTGAACAGCACACTGACCTACAGTTGAAATCGGCGTAAACCACAACTCACAACAAAACAATGTGTCTTTCAGGTCAGACGTCCCAACATCCATTCTGCAGGCATTACCTCAAAACTAACAGACGGGACACAAGCTCCGTTGGTACGTATGGTACGGTTTAGCCCTGTCCGTATTGAACAATTCTATACTCAGCAGCAAAAAAAACCCGTGAGTACGAATTCAAAATTAGATAGGCACTGTAATCAAATCATTACAGAAATGGACATGATAAGCGGATCAAAAACATTTTTTGCGTACAATATCTTGACACATCAGTGAATAACTCAATTTCAAGACATTACGTGAACGTTTGCAGTCCATTCAGAGTCTTGACTTCAGTATCTAGTGTGACCACCACGAGCGGCAATAACTGCAGCAAAGCGTCTATGCATGGAGTGCACCAATCGATTGATGAAGGCCATTGGCACCTGGAACCACACTCTGAGAAAGGCCTGGCGCAATACATCAGCTGTGTTCGGCCTTGGTATGATATTATCCTCTGAATTTCATCCCAAAGATGTTCAATGGGAATTAAATCAGGACTAAAGGCTGGCCACTGCATAATGTTGACACCGTTCTGCTATAGAAAGTCCCGTGTTGCTCTGGCAACCGTACTGTTTCGGAAGCCTGCATGAAGGGATTCTGTACATGCCGTCGCACAACATGGCGGTCTTGTCGTCTTGTGGTCACCCTTGGTCTGCCAGTACGGGGGGCGATCATTTGTGGTGTTGGTGGCCCGGAAACGTTGCTGCAGCCTGTAGATGGTCCGAACGTTGACCTGGAAGTGATTGGAAACGGCTTGTGCAGTGTGGCCAGCTTCAAGTCTTTCCAGCGCCTGGTTCCTCTGAGCAGTCGTGAGTCGCAGCATCCTGCTGACGTTGTAATGTGAATGTGTCAACCAGGTTTGGGGGTGTGCATTTATAGGGCTGGTCCTTGTGAACAGCACGTGCAGCATGAGTTGCATGAAAAACATGGAGAACACAGTACCATCTTCGAGGTCAAGTTCTGTTTTTGAAACCATTTCCTGGGTTCCATTCTAAGTTTTGGAAGGAACGTCTTTGCTCAGGTAAAGTTGGAGATGTTGTCAAAAAAATACAATCAAAACATTAAATCAGTTATCCGTTTCTGCGAAGGAAAATTCCAAACTGACGTTTCTTTTGCTGCTTAGTATATTTGTAATCTTTGCAGTATACATACACTTACGCACGCACACATGCGTGCACACAGAGCGCACGTACGCGCACACACATCCGTATCTAGTATACATAACTTCTCTTTTACTGTCTTTCAAAGGATCCGTTAAGATCCGGTTAGAATTGGTCTTCAGTAACCCATGCTTGTCGAAAGAGGCGACTAAAGTGATCGGGTGGCCAGGCTCACTGACTGGGTTGACACATGTCATCGGTTCCCAATTGTGTACACAGATGTTCATTCTGTTGATCACTGGATTGTCTGGTCCAAAATCGATCATTTACAGACCGCCGTCATATAGCTGGAATACTGCGGCGTAAAACTAAACTCACTTACTCTTTAAAATGGGATATTAGGGAGCTCAGTGGTCTGAGCCGCACAGAGGTCTGACTATCAGTTACCCTTTTGTATATATGCTTATAAGTTAATTGTTTACAAGCAACGACAAACACCATTCTAGTTCATTTTCCTTTGCAGTGAAGGATATAATGCCATTAGTTGCTGGACACCCTCCGGAATGCTTACAGCATATGATCGACTATCATATCCGTAAGTACTTACTCTTCCGATAACAGTTGGGGCGGTTGTTAAAGCGTTCGCTCGTCACGCCGAAGACCCGGGTTCGAATCCCCACATGGGTACATTGTGTGAAGCCCATATTTGGTGTCTCCGTTCGTGATATTACTGGAATATTGCTAAAAGTGGGTAAAACTAACTCACCCACTCACTATGATAACAGTGGGTCGCGGCATCTTCTAAACAAGACCATATGTACGAAATATTAAAGGCATGGTTACGTTTTTCATACAGCATCTTCCGGGGTGATAAGCTAGATGAATTTGTTTTTGGTTTTTTTTCATGCCCAAGGCGAAACACAATGGATAACTACACTCTTCAAAAAAAAGAAACGCACAGGCGTTTTCAGCAGTTCATTTCGAGATATGTTGGCAGCAATCGACATTAAGACAATTCCTATGTTTGAATCAGGCCGTGGCTGTTGTTTATTGCTCACAAACGCACCCAACGTGTTTGCAAAAGTTTATCATAAAAATTGAAAACGATACACATCGACTATAAAAGGCCAAACCAAATTCATTATTTCATTACGAAATTTACGACGTAAACGAAGATAAAAAATGCCAAGATTGAATGCTACTGACCGAAATATCGCCATTAGTAGTATAGGGACTGATAGTTATATGGCAGGTCCTCTGAGAGGACCTCTGTAGCCAATTCATTTCCTAAACTATCATTCCCTGTACTACTCCATTGGACGCTTGGAAAAAGGGGAGTCCCAGTCTGCCGTTGCAAGACAGTTGAGGGTCCACCACAGCACCATATCTCGATTATGGCATCGATATAGCTCCTTCAATTCGAATTCGGACACTACAGGCAGGTGATTAGTCTTCGAAGAATTTCAGACATTCAGAAATTCAGAAATCACCTGAGAGAAGTTGGAATTCTAGCATATCGACCAAAAGTGGGACATGTCCTGACACGACTACATCGACAACGACATGTCCAATGGTTCAACAGGATACATGCAGGGGAACTGGCGACACGTTTGGTACAGCGATGAATCGCATTTCTTCCTGCAATGACGGGTTGGGAGTCATTGACGTCGACACGAACGTTTTGCGCCGAACTGTGATCGACAGGTGGGCACATTTGGTGGAGAAAGCGTCATGGTGTGGGGAACCATATCCTACACGGGTAGATCAGAGCTAGTGGTGTTTCAGGCAATCCTACAGCCTATCGCTACATCGACTAAATCCTGCGACCCCACTTACTCCCACTTTTTAACCCCCAGAGGAAACTGTTTCAACATGACAACGCTCGACCCAACACAACTCATATAACAGCCTATCTCGCCCGTACAAACGTCACTGTCCTTTCCTGCCTTCCAAACCGCCTGATCTGAAACCGATCTAGCATCTATTGGACGAACTTGATCGACGCGTCCGTAAACGTCACCACCGTCCTCAGAAACTTGCAGAATTTGCCAACGCGTTGCAGGAGGAATGGCATTGAATTCCCCAAGCATAAATCCGACGACATATGTAATCCCTTCCTAGCCGGTGTTGAGCAGTGAGGGCTACAAGGGGTGATGTCACCAGGTACTGACCTGAACGCCCCCTTGTGTCCACACATGTGCAGTGAGTGAACTGAATTAAAGCTGACAATGACAACAATACATATGTTCACCATTGTGTAGAATTTCCTTCATCTATGTTCATGCTTAATCGACTTAACCACATAAACATGTTTAATACATTTCCTTTATGTTTGGCCTATGCGCTTCTTTTTTTGAAGAGTCTGTTTCTTCTGTATTTGTAGGTGAGGTGCTTGAAAACACACACTTCACTCCACCACAGATTCATACAACAAAACCAACAGTACATGTAACAGATAAAGCTACAGCGACGCTTTCCACACCAACGCAAACAGCAAAAGTGACAGATACGGTAACGACCGATACACCAACAGCAAAAGTAACAGATACGGTAACGACCGATACACCAACAGCAAAAGTAACAGATACGGTAACCACCGATACACCAACAGCAAAAGTGACAGACAAAGTAACGTCCGATACCCCAACAGCAAAAGTAACAGATACGGTAACGACCGATACACCAACAGCAAAAGTAACAGATACGGTAACCACCGATATCCCGACAGATAAAGTAACGTCCGATACCCCGACAGACAAAGTAACGACCGATACACCAACAGCAAAAGTGACAGACAAAGTAACGTCCGATACCCCAACAGTAAAAGTGACAGACAAAGTAACGTCCGATACTCCAACAGTAAAAGTGACAGACAAAGTAACATCCGATACCCCAACAGTAAAAGTGACAGACAAAGTAACATCCGATACCCCAACAGCAAAAGTAACAGACACGGTAACGTCCGATACCCCAACAGCTAAAGTAACAGATACGGCAACCACCGATACCCCGACAGACAAAGTAACGTCCGATACCCCAACAGCAAAAGTGACAGACAAAGTAACGTCCGATACCCCAACAGCAAAGGTAACAGACGCGGTAACGTCCGATACACCAACAGCAAAAGTGACAGACAAAGTAACGTCCGATACTCCAACAGCAAAAGTGACAGACAAAGTAACGTCCGATACACCAACAGCAAAAGTGACAGACAAAGTAACGTCCGATACACCAACAGCAAAAGTGACAGACAAAGTAACGTCCGATACCCCAACAGCAAAAGTAACAGATACAGTAACGTCCGATGCACCAACAGCAAAAGTGACAGATGCGGTTACGTCCGATACACCAACAGCATCAACGACAATTGCAAAAATATCAACGACTGCAAAACCTCAGTCACGTATGTATACTTGATGTCCTCTGAAACAATCAGTTACCATCGTCACCCTCTCCTTTAACTTCCCCTAACCCCCAGCCACGTATATAACTGTGTCTGTATCTTCCCAAACAATCAGTTACCATCGTCACCCTCTCCTTTAACTTCCCCTAACCCCCAGCCACGTATATAACTGTGTCTGTATCTTCCCAAATAATCAGATACCATCGTAACCCTCTTCTCCAACTTCCCGCAACCCCCGTTCACCGCTATAACTGTCTGTACCTTCCCATAAAATCAGTTACCATGGTAACCCTTTCCTTCAACTTCCAACTCCAAGTCACTATCGTAGCTGTTTCTCATCTTCTCAAGCACTGCTTGTGGTCACTATTATACTGTTTGCCTAACCACCAATTATTGCAAATAATGTCCATATTTTCTACCAAAATAGCCATTTTCTTTATCTAACTGATCTTCAGTAACCCATGCTTGTCGTAAGAGGCGACTAACAGGGTTCGGGTTGTCATGTCAACGGTTCCCAATTGAGCCGTTCGATGCTCATGCTATTGATCACTGGAGTGTCTGGTCCAGACTCGATTATTTACACATCGCCGCCATATAGCTGGAATATTGCTGAGTGCGACGTAAAACTAAACTCACTTTATCTAACAATCGCCAAACATGGCGGACATTTCAACTTCATGATGCTGATTTCAGTTACCTGTGCAACATGTACCGACATATTGTCGTGTACGTTCACGCCGACGGAGACAACGTGTGGCCCAGGGGAACTCTGCATGACAACTGTCACCGATACCCTCTCATCAACCAGAGCTGTGGTCAAGGGGTGAGTGTAAAGATGGCTATATGTCATACAGGGACTTGGGTATTTGTGAGTGAATAAGGTAGTAATGACTCAAAAACAGTTATGACACCAGGTGTTCCCGATAAGAGGAAGCAGGTATGGCCCCTACCTACTATTACGAAGAGTGCCATCGCTGCCGTTGATGTCGCCGTTACAAACCAATTTCTCAGATGAATTGTCCGGATGTGGCGATCATCACCGGGCGTTGTCACACGTGGTCGATCACTCCTAGGCCTGTCTGACGTATTGCCTGTTTGTGTTAGTCGTTGCATCAGTCTGATGACAGTTGCTCTGGTGGAGCCGAAGGTTCTGGCAATGACGGTGTGGCTAGTTCCTTGTTGGGCCATTCCGACAGCTCTCTCTCTTTCGATTTGCAAACGTGGCATATTTTTGTGTTCGTTTTACTATCTGTGTTGCTCACGTGTAGTGTAGGCTGTTTAATACCGTCAGTATGCACGTGCATTCCGTGTTACGTCAGAAAAAGTCCTTTTGGAGGTTTTTCGACGTTTACTCGATTCGTTAACTTGTTTCGCCGTTTATTCCAGGAAAGGATGGGGCTGTACGTGTGTGACATGGCTCAGTGTGGTTTTGTCACTTTATTTTTATTTTTTAAATTTTTATGTTATGTTTTGCGGTGTATAGTTTCTTTTGAGCACTAGTTCATATTTCGGAGACACATTTCTGTGATGTTGCTAAAAGCGGCGTAAAACCATACCCACTGACTGTTTATTCTTCAGGTGTAGAGGCGTGAACTGGTGTGGCAACAACTGGTGGTCGCAGACCAGCGATGTCAGCACATGCCTTGATGTGGATACCACCGTGCATGACTTTGACCAGTCGTGCATGTTTTGTTGCGATCGCGACAGGTGCAACGCTGGGAACACTCTCGTGCCAACGAACCTGTACAAGCCTAAAGACTGATGTGACGCGTCTCCGTCACGTACCTAGGATACCAGTCTTGCTTTCATTCATTGTAGATTATCATAGTCAAGGTGGCTCCTTTCATAAATGGAAAAACGTTTGTGGGAAGGGACATTGGTGTTTTTGACACTCGCTGTCGGGTTACTGGATTTCCTAAATGGGCAAAGGTGTGAACCCCATTACTTTTGTCCACCAAAAGCTCGTCACGCCGTAGACCCGGGTTCGATTTCCCACATGGGTACAATACCGTTTTATTGCTGAAATATTGCTAAAGGTGGCGTAAAAATAAACTCACTCACTACTACTGGATTCCAACAGTGAGTGAGTATGGTCTTACGCCGCTTTTAACAATTACTGGATCACTGGATCATCTGATCCAGACTCGATTATTTACAGACCGCCGTCATAGAGCTGGGGTATTGCTGAGTACGGCGTAAAACAACATCAATCAATCACACCTAGGAGGAACCGCTTTCACTTAACGCTGCTTGAATAGTGTTTCGGGCATATTACGGTGTGTGGCGTAGCGTCGTGGTTCAGGTGTTTGCTCGTCCGAAGACACAGGTTCGATTTCTCACATTGGTACAATGTGTGAAGCCTAGTTCTGGTGTCCTCCACCGTGGTATTGGTGGAATATTGCTTAAAGCGGCGTAAACCACAACTCACTCACGGAGTGTCAGCTTGATGAAACAACGCGTGGCACTGACAAACCACGTACATCATCCGTGCCAGTATTACAAATTTCTGGTACACGTAAAGGAACGCACCTGTTCAGCGAAATGCAGCGCCGTAGACAAGTCGATGTCGTCGTGCCCCCGATCCTAAAAGGGACGAATGTCCAGCTTATTGTAATATGTGGCAGCTATGCTCTGACAATGGTCATTGTGTGGTCAACGAGGTGTATCATGACCAGCTGGGTAGTTTGGTTGATTACCCAAGTTGTGTGGCGGCCTCACAAAAGGTATAGGCTGCTGAAGACCAGTTCTAAGTTTCTTACACGGATTTTCACTGCTGAGACAACCATCCCTTTCTAAAAGCATCGGTTGCTGAAGAACAATTTGCAGTCCGGATACTTGGCTGCATGGTAAATCCCATTATTCATCACTCGGTATTTAAGAAAATGCTCGGTATATTGACAGATCAAGGCATGCTTCAGTCTACATACAAAGTACCAAACACACCATACACAGAAAACAGTACGCGATGCCACACATCGAAAACCTTTCAGCGGTTTTAACACAAAAAGGACGTTTTGAATTGAAATATTTATTTTGCGTTAACAAATTGCTAACAATATTTCCATATATGATCACAGGAGGAACAGAGACGCAAATATACAATTTTATATCTTGGCTCTATTCTTAAACATGCAACGCCCATGTGATATGTTGATACCTCACTCACACATAGTTCTCCTCTGATAAATGTATACAAGGGTCATAACAAGCACACTATAAAATACTTTCTTCTGTACAGGTCTCTTGAAATATATATAATTTGGCACAATGGACACCAACAAACTCGATGAAGACTACAAATTGAAACGTAATTGCTGAGGACGGTTTGCTAGTGATATATTTGATGCGTGACTCATATTTATATTTTCTAGGTTTGCAGTTTCTTCTGCAGATTTAAGCCGAGAAACGTTTTGGTAACGTTTGATATGTTTTGGCAAAATCTAAAAAAAGTGTACAGTTTAATCTCCACGGCAGTATATTTGGTTGGCTATTGAAGGTTATTTAACTTGGGCTGTGCAGGTAACAGGGGTATTACCGGATACCAAGCCAAAACCAAGACTCGTTGACCCGGACTCAGGCCAGTCCTGACACTTTCACTTGTAATGGTACAAGCTGGATAGAAAAAGTTTTAATTGCAGTCCCCTTGTATATGAATTTGTTGTGGCTTCAAATAAACTATAGCACAATCTATCTGTGGATCCAAGGGACCGACCATTTCATATTGTAATGGGGTGAGGGAAGGGTGGGGTTGGGGGTGAAAGTCCAAGGGGGTTGGGGAAAGTAGATGTGGATACAGGAAAGTGTCATTAAGCATGGAATATTTTTAGTCACAGCTTTGAGACACATTGTTTCATTCTCTGACCGCAACAGATCATATTTTACTCACAAAACAGTTTTGGAGGTTGGGGTAAGTGGATATTTTCCAACAATGCTTCCGGACATTACACACTGAACCCCTCTTTTCTGTGTAAAAACTCTGAAGCTAAGGAATTGAAAAATATCCCGTTTACCAGTCTTCCCTCGAATATAATTTGGTCGGTCACTTAAAAAAGAAGACGGTGCCCAGTTTCATCATTCGTCTGGATCAAGTGAGCACGGACGCCGGAATGTCTGCCCTACTTCTCGTATCCATTTGTTGGCAACTGAAAAGGTCAAAATAGATTGCGTGTGTTTACAGAAAATATTTTATTGAAGAAAATGTTTTCCTCCTTCTTATTCCTGTGGGAACAGCATATGTTATTCCGAAAGATTTCCAATGATTGCCCAAATTATGATGAAGACGGATGATGAAATTATATTAGCTCTGCTAAAATAACGGAAATCATATTCCCATTTAAACTTATCCAAAAGGGTAACGTATTCATATCAAATAAGTGTTCTTACAGCATTGATCTCCGATAAATAACTGTAATCACTTCACTTATTCCCGATAAATAAAACTACTCAGTCCTTTTATCCCCAATAAATAAATTTACCTACATCAAGTAATTAAGTGCACTTACAACAAGTAAATAAGTGCACTTACAACAAGGAAAAAAATTACTTACAAGTAAATAAGTACACTTACTAAAATATAGAAAAGTACTTACAAGTAAATATGTGCACTTACTAAAAGTAGTGTACTTACAACAAGTAACTAAGTGCACTTACTAAAAGTAAAGAAGTGTACTTGCAACAAGTAAATAAGTGCACCTACTAAAAGTAAATATGTGCACTTACTAGAATAAAGAAGTGTACTTACAGCAAGTAAATATGTGCACTTACTAAAAGTAAATATGTGTACTTACAACAACTAAATAAGTACACTTACTAAATGTAAAGAAGTGTACTTACAATAAGTAAATAAGTGCACTTACAACAAAGTACTCCACTTGTCCTCATAACGTAATGTACTTACTCCACTTGTCCCCAATGAGGACCGGACATCCGGCGTGTATCGTCCTCAGATCTGGTTTCCCGTTCCGGTGTAGGTTATACCAGAACGCCGCTGCGCCCTGGGGAACATACCGGCGAATATGTGAGTGTCTGTAAATGTGTTTTTACCTCGCCTTTAGCATTATTCGATAAATATCACGGCGGGGACACCAGAAATGGACTTCACACATTATACCCAATAAGGTAAAAGAACCCGTGTCTCTTTATTATGGGGAACACAACGTTTATCAATAAAGGGGTTGAAAACTGTCTTCCTTATGTGTACCACTTCTAAATGCCACTCAAAGACCTCATAGTCATTTTCCCTTTCAGTTTTCTATAGTATTACTTGTGGTCATCCGTTTCGTATTAACAAAATGATCCATTTGACTGCTACCAAACATTACATAGACGAAACAATATATTTGTCTGTTTGTTACTTTGCGACAAGGAGCACAGGTTTGTTACCTTGGTTACTGGAACACGTGTATTGATGAGAGGGAAGACCGTGGCTCCACCTGCCGGCACGTCGCTCATCTGCACACAAACACACAATAGTGACAAACATGCATATAAGTGCGACATCGTAGCAATATACTGCGTAGCAATATCGCAGTTGTATATTAATCCTACAAGCATTGATTGCTGAAGACCAATTCTAACCCGGATCTTCACGGGTCTCATCAGTTATGAGGATTATGACCATAGTCACAGACATTATGAATGATGAGACTCACGTAGAACAACCAAGTAGCAAGCCGGTCACCAGAATGGCGGACTGATGGAGACTTCTCGTAACCCAACTTCCGGTACATGCGCTGTAATATAAACCGTCAAAGTAAATTCGTAAGTACATCCTCTGACAGTTCGGACCCTGCGGGTATGCTTTACCTCTATTTCAAAAAGGTTTTTTAGTATGATAGTGATAGTGTTCAACAAAGGCCAGATTGTGTTTATATTTTGTGTTCGATCTCATGACTCATAGCATATTTAAAGGAATACACTGGAACAAAAGCATGTTTCCATTATTTAAAGGTCACATGCAACCAAAAAATCAAGATGATTAAAACACAATTATCACTTATTCATGACATATAATAAACATTGCTGATTATGAAAAAACATATAAACAAAATTATAAGCGTACAATCGCCAATCAAAAGTGCTGGGGGAAAATTAGTGAATCGTTTGAACTCCGATTTCGCGCGGTTTTTTTCATCGCGTTGTTTTTCAACTTTATAAGCTGAGTTTGCATTTTTGATGATTTGTTTCGGTAAGTCCATACCGAAAGGTATAAGAACCTGCAAAGTTGTGTTTTACGTTGCATGTGACCTTTAACGAACGGAGAATATATCTTTGTGGATGTTAGTACAAATGCATGACCCGATACAGCTCTAACACGTAGAAGCATGTGGACATATACTTACCACCGAGTCTTCGTGTGGTTCGTAGAGACCTCCCAGACCGTAGTTGACCACCTGCGCAGAAGTCAGTAATGAGCACGTGTGCGCACTGACCATTACACTTAAAATACCAGAGCCAGTCAAGGATTTACTGAAAATTTTCTCTCGTTGCCTTAAAACTTGCTACGATAATGACGATTTGTTCTTCGTGAAGATGACCAACTGTACAGAGTACTACAGGCCCGTGAAGATATTGGATCTTCAACGACCGATGTTTGTCGTAAGGTATGTCTAAAGGAACCGGATGGTCAGACTTGCTGACTTGATTGATGCATGTCATTGTATCCCTATGATCATGTTATGTCAATCACTGGATTTTGCGGTTCAAATTTGATTGCTGATTCCTTACAGACCGCCGCCATATCGCCGAGCATTGCTGAGTGCGACGTTTAAATACAAACATAACACGTTACGGTGAGTGAGTATAGTTGTACGCCGCTTTCAGCAATATTCCAGCAACATCACGGCGGGCGACACTAGAAATGGGCTTCACACATTGTACCCATGTGGGAAATCGAACTTGGGTCTTCTGCGTGACGAGGGAACGCTGTGACCATTTGGCGACCCCACCGCCCCTGGAACACGTTACAAAAGAACCAGTGTCCTATATTAAATATAGTTGCCGTCTGTGGCGTTACATGCTTACACTCTCTCTTGTAAGTTTTGTTTCCGATTTGCAATCTCTCTTTATTCTGGTGCATGTAGGCCATCGGCCCGTAATACAATATTACTTCATACAGCCAACAAACGGCTTGTACGCAGCTCATTCGCATAAAATAGATACAAAGCTAGATTTCGTAACTCAGTGGAATTGTCTACAGACATCAAAGTATTAAATTTGCATAATGATCGATATGTATGATAGTTCACAGGAATATAAGATGTACGTAGATGATCACAGGCAGAACATATTAGGAGAAAATGACATTCATTTTCAATGTAAGCACCCGAACACATATGACATAATATTCCTTGGCTCATTAATATATCTGTGGCCGTGGCGTTACATGCTTACACTCTCTCTTGTAAGTTTTGTTTCTGAATTATGTATAATGCATTACTATCTCTTGTTATGTCTTTCAGTCGTGGTCCGCTGGTCGTCCCATCTTCGCGCCGATCATGGTGCTTGGTTCGTCAGGAGCATACCACTGGTCGTCATTTCACTTGAGGGGATATGTCTCTGACTTGCGATACTATGTCGTTTCAGCATAATTTAACTCAAGTACTTGTCAAAAGTAGCGCCAAGCTCAATTCACACTCTCGGTCAGAAATTTTTTTGTTTCCTACCTGAAAAGCCTCGGCGTGGCTGTACACCCTTTGAAGTTTCGTGCTTAAACCAGTGAACAACTGAATGCGCCGAGAAAGCCGTGACGTCACTTCCAGGTCATCAAATACCCATGCACTGTAAAATATAATTGAGTGAGTGAGTATAGTTTTACGCCGCTGTTAGCACTATTCCAGCAATATCACGGCGGGGGACACCAGAAGCTTCACACATGAGTTTCACACAGTGTACCCATGTGGGGAAGCGAACCCGGGTCTTCGGCGTGACCTTGGCGAACGCTTTAACCATTAAGCTACCCCACCGCCCCCTCAAAATATAATTGAACATAACGACGTACGAATGACAATATTCCAAAAACATATCATACAATTGTTGAATTCTGTAGAAACTCCACAATCCCAGTGCAGTGAGTGAGTGAGGGAGGGAGGGAGGAAATTTAGTTTGACACCACTTTTAGCAATAGTTCAGCAATATCAGGGCGGGGGACACCAGAAATATGCATCACACATTGTACCCATTTCTGGAGTTCTCCGCTGTGAATATTGACAAAGACGGCGTACTCATTCATTCACTATGAAGCCGGCACTCACTCATCATTACGTTCTTGACCACTACAAGTAGCCACACATACGCTTTAAGCAGCCCTTTGTCTCAGCTTATGTCGTATACTCGTAAATAGAGCAAAGCTATGTAACGGTATAATTAAACTACCCATTGGTTTGTAATGTCTGTTATGAATGATGACCCTACTGATATCACGTGACTGACCTTTGACTTATCCTCTCGTTCATGCCCTCGTGACCGGAACCGTCTGGTTTACCCAGCAATGACCGCGTCAGCTTGAAAGAGACGAATCGTGTCAAACTATTGAGTTCAAATCCTTAAAAACATTATTCGTGCAGAATCAGTGGGACCAATTGCTCTGAAAGAGTAAACTATCCTTGAAGCAAACTTTACTGTGCGCCAGCAGGCAGCATATATACTGAGCTCTCACAAATCTCTCACTTTCTATGATTTCCTGGTATTGCACCCCAGAGAAACTTGGACATTTGTTTGAAGAATACTTCTAGATCATGTTTTTGATGTTTTCAAGCAGAAAAGCATTCTAAAATGTTCATTTTATTGACATTTATATGCTGGATGTGTACATTTACTGGGCTCAAGGGAACAACTGCCTATTGTTCTCCTATCAACGTGACAAGCCAACAACACAGTAGTGTGGGTATGGAAGCAGCCAAAGTGACCTACACCAAGGAGTGTACTTCTTTGTTCCACGATGAGTTTCAGTCTTTGCTTGAGCATGCATGTCAGAGAAAGGGAAGACTTCTAATTCTCGGCGATTTCAACTTTCATTCTGATAACAACGAAAGTGCTGACATGAAGAAAATGAATAAGCTGCTTGATATTCATGACTGTGTCCAGCATGTGACTGTCCCTACACATAAGTCCGGACATATCCTGGATTGGGTGCTGACACGGGTCGCTGAGGCATGTGTCCGTGACGTCAGTATAGTTGACTATCAGCTGTCAGATCATTCCTGTATTTTCATGAATCTGGACTCATCACGCCCTCCTCGTCCCCTGAAGTCTGTAAGTTGCAGGAACATCCGCAATATGGATAGAGAGGCGTTTAGACAAGACTTAACAAACTCTGAATTGATATTGAATCCTCCAGGTAACTGTGAAGATCCTGTTGCTCAGTACAACCGTGTTTTGACAGACCTACTTGACAAGCATCTAGCTGCAAAACGTAAAAGACGCAGAGCAGAGAGACTTTGGAGAAAATCCACATTGGAAATACATCGGCAGCTGTATGTTTCAGGTTGGAATCAACTGACATTGATAATCCGCCAATGCATGCGTCGCTATCTCAACAACAAAGTCAAAGAAAATACGAAAGATTCAAGGGCTATATATCGACTCCTTTTCACTACGAAGGGAAAAAACCTCTACCATCCAGGGGAAGTGATCTCGAAATATCAGAAGATTTCTCATCTTATTTCATCAACAAAATCCAGACTATCCGATCAAAGTTAGACAGTTCCGAGGAAGTTATGCATTACTTTCCTTCAAGCACTTTTGCAAATGATCCGCTAACACATTTCCAGACCTTCAGTGAAGAAGAAGTTCTCTCACTCTTGAAGAAGGCCAAACACACCTTCTGCGCACTTGATCCAATCCCCACACAGCTTGTGTACGACAATCTGGATATTCTGCTGCCTCCCATCTTCAAAATCGTCAATCTATCGATAACTTCTGGTACTATGCCGCAAGACTTCAAGACAACTATAGTCAAGCCCTTATTGAAGAAATCTGTACTCGACATAGAAAATCTGAAGAACTTTAGACCTGTCTCCAATCTGTCTTTTGTATCAAAACTTGTTGAGAAGGCTGTGAGCTGTCGTCTGTCTGAACATCTTAGCAAGCACAATCTCCATGAACGTCTTCAGTCGGCTTATAGACCTCGCCATAGCACTGAAACTGCCTTGTTGAACGTTCTGAATCACATACGGTGTGGTGTGGACAATGGTGACGTTGCTCTTCTAATTCTTCTTGATCTATTGCGGCTTTTGACACGATTGATCATAACAACCTTTTGACACGTCTTGACTCAGAATTCGGAATTAAAGGATCGGCACTGAATTGGATTCAGTCATGCTTGACAGATAGAACACAGAAAGTAGTCATCAATGAAATTTCATCTAGTCCTGTTCAACTTCAATGCGGCGTCCCGCAAGGATCGGTTTTGGGACCCACACTAGTACTGTTCAGTCTTTACACCAGACCTCTTGGCAACATCCGCATTAAACATGATCTGGCATACCAATGCTAGTCTCAAACAGCCCCACAGTACCTCTGCGACTTACTTCCATTGTACTGTCACAGCAGAACCCTTTGGTCTGAATCCAAATATCTGTTTACTGTTCCAAAAGTGAAACTCTCCAGTTATGGGAAGAAATCGTTCGCATATGCTGCAGCCACTGCCTGGAACAATCTTCCCCTTGATGTCCGCCAATGTCAAACCTGTTCTGCCTTCAAAACATCACCAACCAATCTTTTCCGACAAGCTTTCTTCTGATCAGTCCTCGATGCGCTTTGAGCATAATATCCAAGTATGGAAAAAGCGCAATACAAATCTACTACTATTATTATTATTACTTGAGGTAACTTAAAGGTGAGCGATTGAGTGGGGTTTTACGCCGCTTTTAGCAATATTCAAGAAATATCACGGCGGGGGACACCAGAAATGGGCCTCACACATGCCCGTGTGGGGTATCGAACGCGGGTAACCACTAGGCTACCCAACCGTCCTAACTTGAAGGATCACCCCTTAGTATTATCACTCCTAAAACTGCCCATCGTTGAAGGAATCATAGGGATTAGTTTCACCATATCTATTTCGAGACATACCACTGTCGGGACATCCATGCTAAATACCTTCCAAATCGTTTCATTGTTGTCTCGAAGAAAAATAATGAATATTACTGCACTAAATAAATGAAGTGTGTTGATGTGATTAACTTAGTAACTGTACAACTCGACAGGTTGGACAGGCTCATAATATCGATCATTTGATAATCTAACCAAACAGATTATTTTACAGGACGCTATCTTATAGTTTCTGTAAAACAAACAAACACATACCAGTCTCATTGATATATTTTTAACAGCGGCTATCTCGCTATCGCTGATGACGTCGTGGTACATCAAAATGGCAGGGTCAAGGTGAAGCTGTTCAACCTTGACCTTCATGTAAGGAATAAAGGTGTGTTGATACCAGCAGACGAGGTCGGACACTTCTCCTGGGCTCTGATAAATGGAAAAATAACGGTTCAAAGAAGCAGTCATAAAATCAATGCCCAAAGTTTGAAGTGTATTAATATCTGTATCGATTCCATGTCGGTCCATAGCCCACTCAAACCAGAGACCATATAATAGATCTATTATGTGGTGTCTGCTCTAACTTACCTTTTTAACACGTTCACTTATTTGTTACCATGTAAACTGTTCCGGAACAGATGTCGACAACCGTCCTCCTGTCAGTCTAATTATTGGGTTCCGTATAATAAACATGGCGGAAAATATAGCCAGTTTGTGTGCCTAACCTTTCATGTTAATATTTTAGAACCGATGGTAATTTTCAGTACTGGTCCAAATTACCAATACGTTCAAAGGCGTCGGTAATTTGTACTGAGCAATTCAATGGTGTCATATTGATCAGTTAAACATATAATTATTAGTTAAAGATAAGAAAAAAGCCGACCGATCAGTATTTAATTAAAAAGAATAATACACAGTTAAAACCACAAACTTTAAACACGTTTGCGTAATACATAGCTTCTGTTAGGTATCCAAGACATCGTATCCTTGGGAATCAGTAAATGTGTCAAATTTAAAAAAAATTAAAAATTTAATTTCTTGTCTTTATTGAACATGTATGTGTGTAAATACACAGCCACTGAGTTACATAAAACAAAATCGGTATACTTTCTTTTACATTCCAGTTTCTATTCATTTTATGCATTGGTTTCTTCAGCTATTCATGTTTATTGTTTAATCTATCTAATGTCCAGCACAATGGGTTCAATAATACAGAAAAATATGCGTGGTATCAGTTTTAAGTTTTGTGTGTCAAACTGCTGGTTTAAATCTAATTATCGTAAAAGTTGTAACCATTTTATTTCAGTAATACTTACAATACATATAATGATGTATGATTCTACTTTGGGTCGCCAATCAGCCATTCACTATTGTCTTACAACTTATAACAACTTATTGTCTTATAACAAAATACATTAGTGAATTTCAACAGTCTAGTGCACTGATTTAACCGGAAGGTGTGCAATCAGGTGTTTCTCGACCAATCAGATCTATGTTATTCCAGGGTATGCGTTCCTGTTTTTGGGCTTGTTCAAGTCTTACTGTTCTCCATAGCTTTATCCTCAGAAGGAGCGAAATTAATTTCATTTCAATTCAAAATTTTATTTTATGCCCTTGAACATTAACGTTACCATAACAACTAAAGAATATCCTCACCTTACGGTCCTGACGACAAAGATCTTCGTATGCCGACTGATAGAACCCTCTGATTGGTCGAGCCGTTCTGTTGCTTGGCAACACGGGCAAATGCCCATCATCTTCCCCGTCTTCGTCATCTAGCTCTTCATAACCTACCGTGAAGAGGACATCAGGGGCTGAAAGTGGAATATTTGGCCGTATTCAGTATTTGCAAACAAACAATACCTACCATGTATATCTTTATCTTTTAACCAAACTTTTAGGAGTCCCATATCGTATTTCATCATTTGATAAAATAAAAACAAACGTCGCAGCCAAATACTGTATCTAAACAATCCATGGTTTCAAAATAATCAGTTACATACAATGCAAAGTGTCTAAATAGACATTTGCCTAAATGGGCATGATACTTAAGTCCAGGTTGATTATAGTGATAATGCTATTCAAATATGTACGTGTAATCCGGTTTTATCTGCCACGGATTCCGGCAATGTTTGTCAGTCCCCGTTACTGATTCGCTTAGAAAAGAAGTCTCCCTAAGCATCCCAAAATTACGAAGTTTGTGTTTTGTCTCATACCGCACTCAGCAATATTTGAGCTATCTGTAAATAATCGAGTCGGGACCAGACAATCCAGTGATTAACACCATGAGCATCGATCTACGCAATTGGGATACGATGACACGTGTCAGCCAAGTCAGCGAGCCAGACCACAAGTCTTACGACAAGCATAAAAGGCTACGAACTGAATCGGGTGGTCAGGCTCGCTGACTTGGTTGACACATGTCACCACATCCCAGTTGATCACTGGATTGTGTGGTCCAGATTAGTTTAAATATTCTTCAGTGCGGTGTTAAACAACAAACAAACAGCAAAATCCAAGATGATATTTATACCTTCGGAAACCACTTGACCATTAGATCCTTTCGCCTCTATCTGAAAGAACGTAAAATAGTATCAAAAAGTTGAACCTGCGTGCGTGTGTGCATGTTTGTGCGTTCGTGCGTAATTGTGTGGACTTATGCCTGTATTTATAGTGCTAGCTGTTTAGCCCACTGAGATACCATACCAGAGTTTAACACGATTACCCTGCCTAGATACATAATACTCGACCAGTCCATGTTGTGTTTCCTTAAAGGCAGGGTGAAAACAAGTACCATTTTTTAATTAGATGCAGGATCGAACCTCAGACAGTCAATGTCCGAGTTGCATCCACCACACAGATGAGACAGTCTATCGATTCAGGGAAATATGTTGCACTAAATATCTACGAATAAAAGCGACGAAACCCTTTCCACGATCACGAAACAATATGTTTCAGCAAACTCCTGCATGAAATGATGTTAAATTTGCAAAGGCAAGCTTATATCATTCGTTTACCTTTTCTTCTATCTCTCTAAGCCTGTGATGTGCGTCTCTCAGTAGCCTTTCTTGATCACGCATTTCTTCGAGCCTCGTTATGGATATGTTGAGCCACATCCGGGCATCTTGCGCAGTGTGATGGTGATGAACTTCCTCTCCAAGAACAAAGAGTTCGTCTGGATCAAGCGGCGTTGTCTGAGTGTGGAGTAATCGCCCTTTGGCAACGTCATCGGGGTCAAGGTCGTAAGTGCGCAATAACTTCGTGAGCGCTACCGCCGATCCCGTGACGTCCTCGTGAGAAGGCCACGACGATACGGAGTCGATGGAAGAGCGAATTTGCTTGAGAAAACCTAAAAATCACATTGTAGCTTATCATTAATACGAACCACGGAAATCTAACAGAATAAGCATCAATATCTATGTACAGCGTATCTTCTGCTGGTCGTACTGAGGATTCGCTATTTTATTTACATTGGGTGACGGTGACGGTGGCCAAGTTATCAGAGGCGAGGAAACTCTCTCGTCGGAAGTCCAGCCACATGATCGTGGGTTTGAACCCCAGATTCGATCAGAGTGTGACGAATACATTTTAAGCACAGCGCCCGAAAATGCGCTTTCACAATAGTATAAAACGTTTCCTTACTGCTTCTCTAAGACTCTCCTAAAACACAAATTCCGTTTGGTGAAAAGGGAAAATCAAACATGTATATTATGACAGTAGGCAACACATCTGGAACGTGTCAGACAAAAGACACCTTACGTTTCTTTATATTTCTTTGCATCAAAACTGGTTATCCTTTCAAATAATATTCAGTTTTTTGCCTCTTACACTATCATCTGTTTCTTTCAGGCGCGAAGCAAGCCATCTTTTTTCGTGTAAGCCCGATAGGTTGCAAAGCTTTGAATGTAGATGATATTGAGTGCTTGCCGATTAGCAACCATCTTGTATAAGCCCGGGCATTTTTATAATGTCTTTGGACAATCTGTTCTGTTTCTTTTCAGGCATTGTTTTAAAGATACAAAAAGATAACGATTAAAATCTCAGCTATTCATCAAGACGTTTGCCAGTGGTTGATATATACTCACTTATCGAAGCGTCTCTGATGTCACAGTCTCCGACACAGCGCACCCTGGTGGCTCTCTGCCATCCGTCCACGAGGCGCCACAGGAAGCGGAAGCCGTTGACGGGATTTTCCAGGTAGGCTGGATCGTCACACGCAAGCTGATTCTGTTGGCGGGTGGAGGACAAGAATCTGAAAGAAAACCTCTGTCATGATGCAAGGTTGTTGTAACATTGTCGTAGTAATGATGGTCATGGTGTTTGTGTTTGTTTTTGTGTGTGTGTCTGTGTTTTTGTGTTTGTGTGTGTGCGTTTATGTTTGTGTGTGGCACACAAAGTGTACGTAAAATGTGGTACCGGACAAGAGGCCCACATACAATACATGTACTAGAAGTGTCGGTCCAGAAAGAAAGGCTTACATAGTGTACATTAAACGTCAGACGAGACAACACTATCATGTAGGCCTACTATACTAGAAGTGTCGGACAAGAAAGGGAGGTACGCATACTGTACGCAAAATGTCGGACCACACAAGTTATATTGAAAGTGAGGCATCAGACAGTAGGCACCTGTATAATACTAAACGTCTCGGTTTAAACAGCAAGAACATATAGTATACAAGAAATATCGGACAACACACCAATATACCCAGACACGTGCTTGACCACTGGTCGCGATGAACCAGACAAATCCGTGCACTATTATGAGAAGATGATATCAGATCATTACCTTGAGTACCGCTTTCATCAATCTCAATCTCAGGAGATCGATGAAATATTACGATCGTGATGCCATAAATCAATCATAACCGAGACAATTGATTCTAAATCGAGCGTTCATGAAGAACAGAGAGTTGCCGGTCCGTAAGCTTTGCTCCCCATGTGTAATGGTGTTTGTGTACGCGAATGTGTGTGTGAGTACTTACATACATACATACATATACACACACATACATAACATACATACATACATACATACATACATACATACATACATACATACATACATACATACATACATACATACATACATACATACATACATACATACATACATACATACATACATACATACATACATACATACCAATCTACCTACCTGCCTGCCTGCCTGCCTGCCTGCATGCATGCATGCATGCATACATACATACATACATACATACATACAAGCACACATACATACAAGCACACATACATGCTTACATTTTAACTGATCTAAAGTAAACTTCAAATTTTGGAACAAGTGGCATTTAGTCAGATTATAGACTTCATATTCACCTCGAATATGAAGTCTCTTAATAACTGTAAGGTAACTCAAGTGCACATCCATTTAAATAATATGTTACAGTGCAAGCGTTCAATCGATGTGTTTTGAGTCACAACACTGTCCATTTTGTGTAACAAACTTAAACTTACTATCCATTTACCACTTGTAAACTGAATAGATAGATACACGCCTATTAATGGATTAACAGCGTTAGTAAATGTCGGGAAAGTGTGAGAGTAGATAGCCCCCAGACTGAAATGGAATTGACCTTTTAGAGGTAGGACACCCGGTGTTGTATAGAAATATATCATTATTCACAAGCACGCATACTTCGCCGTTAGAAAACAGTAGCCGCAATGTCTGTCCATCGGCGAAAGGAAATCGTACAGGGAATAACGGTAAAATGTTGAACCTTGAATCTGTCAGGTAGCATAGTACCTGCATGTCATCACTATTGATTTCTGTACGATCACACACATTGGCAAACTTTAATTAAACGCGACACGGCAATGTTGTGCAAGAAAATGCAATTAGTTGCCCGAGGCTTCATACAATGCAAACATAGCCGTGTTTGACCTTCGTCCGAAGGTAAACAGCTTTATGGTAGTCGTTGAATGGCTTCCTTCTTAACTTGGGATAGGCATATATAGCACGAGTAACACCGTAATTGGTTCGTTTCTTTTCAGAACAAAAGTTTTCAGATTAATGAAAAAAACCATATTGTTGAGGTAATTGTTGAGAATGTTAAAGTTACGACATTCATAATACATAATGAAACGTGCGTGTTTTGGAAATAACAATTGTCAAAAAGAATATCAGATTCCAGAAGCCTTCTAATCATATTTAAAAACTTAAATAAAAAATATCAGATACATCAGAACTTGAAAATGACAATTATATCAAGCTACATAACACACGTTGGTGCTTCGAAGATCGATAGTTCCGAATGCAACTAATAAAGGCCGCGCCTATACTTTTGTGTACACCCAACAGTGACATGGCAAGTGAACAGCCGAAGGCATATGCATGTTCTGTGAGGGTCATTTCTTTCTCTGACATAAATATTTCTGAACCCAGGTGGTGAAACAGTTTTAGAAAGTTGATTCACTCAAAACATCATCATACATGTTTCATTTTGGCGGCCATTGTTAGCCTAATGGCACCTGAGATGGTCCAATATGGGGTTGCCAGATTGTTACCTCCAGATTGTTAGGTAGAAAGGTGTCGTTCCGGACAAAAACGTCTGATTTAACGTGACTGCCACCGTCCAAATCTTACCACTTAAAGGCAAGAGTCTTTCTTATTAAACACGTCTTGGCATCATAAACTTTATTCCCATTCCGCTCTTTCTATTCCGAAGTCATACTTTTCAATTAATTCCTGCTGATGACCAGCAATGCAGTTTATGATACACAAATGTAAATATTTATGTACTGTCTACAGGTTTATTGAAACATAATAGACGATCAACTGTCATGGGTCAATGACTATCAATTTCTTTATTTGGTAATCAATGCTACACAAAATACAATACATCATTCTGCCATCATATTCATTTTGTGGAGTGGAGAATTTAGGTTAAGTGATTGCAAAATCGAAAAACATCTTTATGACCTAGATATTCTTCAAAAGAATTGGTCACGTGACCCAAGTAAAAATATGTGCTGTACAATGGCTTTGTGCATAAAAAGTATATCTAAAGAATCTATCTTTAAGCTTTAAACTTAAAACTTTTCTTTAAACTTTTCTTTATGCATGAGATGCCCTATTCGCATGGGAAAATTTGAGTGTCTACATAACGGTGACTAATACTAGTATATCGATTGTGAAAGAAACTATAGTCTGTTTGACTTCATTTGAGACCGATGAATTGCTCACTAACACAAAATCTAATAAATGCAACAAAATCAAACTTTGCACAGTCACATGAAATCGACAGACCAACTCTGATGACTTGTCTCATAATTTTGGACACCCGAATAAAGAAGTTGTTAACAAACGATCATTATTTTGTTGTCACTTACCGCTATTTTTTACGAGGGGGGACCACTTGCTGGTAGAACAACCAGGTAATCATTAAGCGTGTGTAGTGAAATTTCAATTTCATACGTGCAACTCGCACACCTGGCTGTTCTACCAGCAAGTGGTACTCCCTCGTAAGAAATAGCGAACAGTGACAACAAAATAATGATCGTTTGTCAAACAACTTGTGTATTTGGGTGTCCAAAATTATTAGACAGATCATCAGAGCTGGTCTGTCTATTTCATGTGACTGTGCAAAATTTGGTTTTGTTGCAATTATTAGATCTTCTGCTAGTGAGCTATTCATCGGTCTCAAATGAAATCAAACGGACTGTAGTACATAATACTGTGCGAAAAAGCTACAGATGGCCATACTTTCATATTTACCCAGTTACAGTAAGAGGGTTTGATTTAACGTCTAGAAGAGTATTTATAATCTTTTGTATCCACTGGCGAAGTCATGAGCATGGCTGACAAACAGAAACTTTCATATTCAACCAGGTACAGTTGGTGGGTATAATTTAAGAGAGTGAGTGAGTATGGTTTTACGCCGATTTTAGCAATATTCCAGCAATATCACGGCGGGGACACCAGAAATGGACTTCACACATTGTACCCACCTGGGGAATCGAACCCGGGTCTTCGGCGTGACGAAAGAACGCTTTAACCACTAGGCTACCCCATAATTTAAACCATACCAGAGGTTTAGACAAGTAACAATGTAAAATGGCACATCAAAATGAAGTACCAGAGGCAACTGCAGCGTGGGCAGAGGATACATGGTAAAAGTCATGCCAGGAATATGGAAACCCTTAAAAATAGAGGTCGGTCGGTCGGTTGGTTGGTTGGTTGGTTGGTTGGTTGTTTAACGCTGCACTCAGCAATATTCCAGCCTGACCACCCGTTCCCGTTAGTCGCCTCTTACGACAAGCATGGGTTGCTGAAGATCAATTCTAGCCCGGATCTGGTTTAAGATATAGGAACAATCATAGTTAACATAGTACACATTAACACCACTAGATACCACATTCACCGCACTTCCTTTTGTTATGTTCACTTTTACATACGCTGGCTTGTTCCTGGAGGACGAAACTGTCTGTTTTCTTCAGAACAGAAGATGAACAACATTAAACTTTGATTTGCATTCAGTCGTATTTGTAAGGCCGTTGTTGCGCCATTGTCTGGTGCTGTGGACCCGTGGCGAAGACGCGCACCAGGCGTTCTGCTACTGTGTACACGGTTTCCAGACTCGTCAATTACTTTAATTGATTCCTTGCCGTCTAATGGATAGAGTGCTTGTTCATGATGCCCATTTCTAGAGGTATCTTGGTGTTGGGCGCATCAAAAGACAACAATAGACAAAAGCAGTTGACTAAGTGTACGCGGTGTGTGTGGACAAGTTCCTGTTTGCATTGAAAACATAAGGTGCAAGAAATCCATTGGGTTGCTTGACAGCCGCACAAATAAATGGCCTCTCCTTGAATATACATTGAAGTCATGAATAAGAGAGGTAAATGAGTTTGTTGTATTTACTGGACGCCTTGAAGTGACTGAGTGATTTACTTTCTACAGATGCAGTATATAGAATGGTAAACATGTTATGAGACAATGTTTGTTTTATATGATATACCTACATTCGCTTGGTGCGATGCAGTAGGAACTTGGTTAAACACGAAGTTGCATCAAAGCTTAGTAAGTCTCAGTAGTATTTTTTTCTAATTAATATTGAATGTACTGTACTAACTTCACGTTAAAATCAGTACAAAGAACAACTTCCCCAGGGAAATACGTGCAGTGGGTAGCCTAGTGTTCAAAGCGTTCGCTCGTCACGTGGAAGACCCGGGTTCGATTTCCAACATGGGTACAGCCAATTTCTGGTGTCTTGAATATTGCTAAAAGCAGCCT